GCTTCCTGATACGATGCTATGAGAAGTAGTCAGTAGGAAATATTTTTGCCTGAAAAGTGGAATCTGAATAAAATCAAGCCTCTAAATCTGAGTACCAGTTCATATAACATACAGGATAGAGGGACGGGTTAAATGACATCATGAGGATGCATTTGACCAAATACCAAATGCAGGACAAATGATCTGGTATCTCAAAAAGAAGGCCACTTAAAAACACCACCACCACCACCACCACCAACACCCTCTGTAAGTCTGGAATTGTATCAAAATAGATACAAGAAAAAAGCAAAAAAAGGGATCTGTTCATTATTTTGATTGTGCTGCCGGTTTCACAGCGTATGCATAGGCCCAAACTTATCAAATTGTATACTTTAAATATGTACTGTCAATTATACTTCAAAACAGGTAAACAAACAGGGACAGGGAGACCATTTGAGATATAAAAAGACTTAAAAGGCATAATAGTCCCACATGGCTCTTGCTTGGATCCTGATTAAAACAAACTGATTGTAAAAGAGACTTTTTTTTTCAAATATGGCATAGCTATTGGATAATATTGAGGAATTATTATGAATTTTATTAGCTATTATTGCTAATAAGATAATGGTCATATTTTTAAAAAATATTTCTCTTAGGGGTATAGATTGAAATATTTACAGGAGAAATGACATGTCATCTGGGATTTGCTTTAAAAAATTCTGCAAAAATAAAAATTCGGGTGCTGCTCCACCTAGTAGAATGTCCAAAATCTAAAACCCTGACAACACCAAATGCTGCTGAGGATGTGGAGCAGCAGAAACTCTCATTCACTGTTGGTGGGACTGCGAAATGGTACAATTACTTTGGAAGACAGTGGTAATTTCTTACAAAACCAAACATACTGTTACCAGTCATGCTCCTTTGTATTTACCCAAAGTAGCTGAAAACATACATCCACACAGAAACCTACATGTGGATGTTTATGCAGCTTTGTTCATAATTGCCAAATTTTGGAAGCAACTGAAATGTCCTTTAGTAGGTGAATGGATAAGTTGTGATCCAGTCAGACAATGGAATATTATGCAGCACTAAAAAGAAATCAGCTATCAAGACATGAAAAGACATGGAGGAAACTTGAATGCATATTACTACGTGAAAGAGGCCAATCTAAAAAGTCTACGTACCTTATGACTCCAACAATATGACACTCTGGAAAAGGCAAAAGTATGGCCACAATAAGATCACTGGTTGACAGGAGTTAGGGAGAAGGTGGAATGAATAGGTAGATGAAGCATAGAGAATGTTTAGGGCAGTGAAATTACTCTGTATGATATTGTAGCGGTATTATACATTTGTTCAAACCCATAGAACGTAAAACACCAAGAATGAACCATAATATAAACTGTAAACTTTGGGTGATTATGATGTCCATGTAGATTCACCAAGTCTAACAAATGTACTATTATGATAGGAGATGTTGGTTATAGGGGAGACTATATATGTATGGGGACAGGGAATATACAGGAAATCTATGTATCTTTCCCTCAAATTTGCATTAAACCAAAGACTGCTTTTAAAAAGTCTTGATTTTTAAAAATGCAGGCGTGAAAAGATGAAACAAGGGTTGGTATAATTACAAAGTTTGCAAATTATAAAAACTACAAGTAATTGTTAAAGCTAGATCGTCGATACATGGTGTTTCATTATACTATACATGGTATGCATTTTACAATTTACTTTGTGTTTGAAATAACATTTTTTTTCAGACGTGAGTGGCTGAGCTGTACAGGGTGGCACCCCTGTCAGCTACCATCATTTTAGCAGGAAGCAGACCGGGGCATCCAGTTTCTTCCCCTATGTATTGGTAGGTGGCCGGCCCGGCAGAGGTGGCAGAGCCCCCAGGAGCAGTTAGAAGGGAAGATCCTCTCCCCACTCTGCTGGGAGCCTGATCTGGCCGCAGTCCCTAGCCATCCCAGTTCCCCTAGGATCCCTCCCTACCAGCTGGGGGGTTGGGCTCCTCTCAGCAGAGCCCGGGGTCGGGGTGCCCCTCCCACTCTGAGAACTCCTATGACGGCCTTTTTTGTCAGGAAATGAAAGGGACCGGACCGCCACAGGGATTAATCATTAGCCCCGGCTGACGAGTCTATGGGAGACACACACCCAGCAATAAGGAAATCCAAAGGGCGCCCGGTTAGCGCCAGCAGTCGGGTCTGTCACCCACCTGGAGGGGCTCTGGCAGGGCCTCCTCCGGTCAACATTTCTCTTCCCTGCTGATGCCTGAAATTTTACCATTAACATTGGACAGGACCTCAAAGAGATCTCAGCTCCAAGATTTTTACTTTTTCTTCCCCCTATTTGAGAAGCTAACGAAAGCAATGGGACTCGCGACGGGTCCCGACAGGTTTGCATACAACCTCAGGGTTCCGTGGACTCCCCTCCCCCCAGTCCACTCACAGACACCAGGCTAAGAACTCCGGGTGGAATTTAATGGTTCTTGAGTGTTTATTCTGTGAAAGAAGCACACTCCAGAGCCCTCTTTAAAATGCAAATGACCCTGGGAAGGTTGAAAAGACTAACTAGTCAGTGTGAAAGTTTTTCAAAGCAGAGGCCATAGACAGCTTAAGAGACTTCACTGGTCGGGGTGAGGAGGCTGCATGGGGCCTCAGGATTTTGCCTAGAACTGGGCAGGGAATGTACTGAGCCAAGGGTGCTAACAGCTAACTTTAGGGCACCTACAAGAACCTCATGAATGAAATGCTATCAATATCCCTAGTTTCTGGATGAGGTCAGGTGACATGCTACCCAGCTAGTGGCAGGACAAGAATTTGAACCTGCATCAGCCTGGGACCAACCCGCATCAGTGGCATAGCTCAACGTCAGCGGCACAGGCTCACCTGCACCTGCAGTTTGATCCTCACAAGGACACAAGGATATATCCTTTTTTGATGGAAGAGGAAACTGAGGTAATTCATGGAAGGCCACAGTCACAAAACACCCTGCCTCCACAGAGTACCCCTGCGTGTCCCCTCCTCACTCTGGACAGCTGAGAGAGGGCAGCCCTTAATGGTCAACTCCCGGAGTTTGGAGAAGGACTTGCTGAGAAGTCTGAAGAGAGCATCTCTCCAGACCTGTCCGCACTGCCCCTAATTGTTTTCTAAAATACTTTTTATTGAATTATCAGAGTGTAATGGAAGAGTCGATGAGAGTCACTGCAGAGTTACAAGGCCAGGGCTTGCTGGGCAGAGGAAAACAAAGCCCTAACGGCTCCCTGGGTCGAGCGATGGTATAAAATATGTATTTTTACATAACAGGGAGAAAAAAATAAACGGACAAGGCCGCCCCATGGGGGAAATGCCTCTTTCTGTATTTCCATTATCTTGTTTAATGCACAGTCCGGCAGGAGCCTCAGTGGGAAAGGAACACTGGAGCCTTTTCCTTCCGAGCCTCCTGGTGGGTTAAGAGGCAGAGAAAGCCAAGATGCAGAAATCCAAATGGCCTGGGCGTGTGCTCAGAAACCCATTTACACTGAGGGGCAGATGGGGAACACATTAAAACTGAGGGGACAGACAGGTTGAGGGGGCCTGAGCTGACCCGAAATAGTGTCTTGCTATGAGACATCACCTCTCCTCTGGGGCTGAGAAAGTAGCTTCATGGGCTCAGACTTACCTTTAAACTCTGGGCGAAATATTCTAAACATGGCCTTCCCCATGAAGAAGAGGTTGGTCCTTTCCAAAGAACAACCTCCACACCAAACGTTTACAGAGCAGTCGCTACTAGGTGCCAAGCGCTCTGCCTAGTGATTTTCTTGCATTAGCTCCTATCAGCCCATTTGTAGATGAGTACACAGACCTGCAAGGTCACAAGGTTAGTGAGCAGCTGACTTCACGCACTGTTGTGTATCTCTCGCCAGGCTTAGAGGGTGAAGGGAAAGATTCTGTCCTTGTCAGGGCAGCCAAACCGCACAGATGTGGCTGGTCCCTGGCACTCAGGCAGGGAAGCTGTCTGACCTAACATTTGCATGTCTATTCTTTTTTTGATCCTAAAATTATTTCACTGGGGACAAAATCCTCTAGAGAAGGGGTTGGTGACTATGATGTGGTGTTAAGAGCCCCAGTCTGGGGATCGCGAGATTTCAGATTCTAGTCTTGGAGACATTGATTTTCTATGGGACATTGAGAATTATTTGCAAATAACAGGTTTCAGTGATCTCTAAAAGGGTCTCTTCCAGGTCGACATTAAAGGACAGATTGAAAACTGCAGCTCCAGCTGGAAGGCTATCCAGGGCCACAGGAGGTGAAGCTAACAGAAGAAGGGGCCTTAAAATAAGAAGGTGGGTTCCAGTCCTCTACCTTCTCCTGTTCGCCTCAAACTCTTCATGCCTCAGTTGCCTATCAAATAGCAATAATAACACAGCTTTTGGGTTATTTTGAGGTGAGATTGAATGAGACAGTCAATGTCAAATGCTTAGCACAGAGCCTGGCACAGTAACTTCCAATACCTCGCACCTATTGTTACTATTATTATTATCACTGGTATCTGTACTGAGCTTTTATGGTGCAGGAACTGTTGGTCTCATTAATTGTATGGCCAGCTCACAACAAAAGAGGGCGTTTGTGATTATTACTCCCATTTGGAAGGTGAACAAACTGAGGTTTTGAAAGGTGGATCTTGTTCAGTGAACTGATTCGCAGACACGAACCTGTAGAGATCTGCGGTTAAAAAGACAGAACTAAATAAAGGGTAAAGCCCAGGTGTTAGCCACCCGCTGCGAGGCTGGGTTCCATTTCTTGGTCAAAGGAATCCTGGAGCCCCCGCACCCAGCCCTCGCTCGAGGCGGTCAACGGGTCGGCGGGAGGCGGGGGGCGGGATCCCGGCCGGGCCGTCCTTCCCCCGCCGGAGAAGGCAGCTGGGGCCGCGCAGCGCCGCTCATTGGCAGGTGCATCCTCAGCCAATCAGCAGTGCCGGGGGCGGGGCCTTAGAGGCTCACCTGGAGGCTGCGGCCGAGCCCTACTCAGTGGCGTTGGGAGCCTCAGAGCACCTGTAAGTTCTTAGAAGTCCCACTAGGCTCTAGCCCGGCCGGACCGACCCGACCCTCGCCAGGCCCGCGATGGGCCCTCGGTGCCGCATGCTCTCCTCGCTCCTGCTGCTGCTGCTGCAGGTACGTCGAGTGCCCCGGCTTTGCGGGGGACGCCTCCCGGTCCCTTCATCCGCGCCCGGGCCCCCCAGTCCCTTCCTCTCTTGTCGTTCCTTCCTCTCTCCTGCCGTCCGCGCTCCACACGTTCTTGCAAGAAAATTTGGGTCCAAATGCCCTGAGCCGCCGAGGCTACGCGGCGGAGGCGAGCGCGGCTTTGCCCGCCGCCCCTCCGCACCCGAGGTGGGGGCGCGCCTCGCTGCAGGCTCTGGGGGCTCCGATTTGGCTGCAGAATGTGCAGAAGGGGGGTGGGGTGGGGCAGAGTGGGGGGGTCAGAATATTGAAAAGGGGAGCCCCAGTGCAATCCAGGGGGCCCAGGACGATGTGGGGACGATCTTTGAGGTAACGAAAGGGGAATCAGTAGAAATAAAGGCACCTGTCAGGTAAAGAAAGGGTAGTAAGTAGGTACGGGGGCGATCCCGGGTTAAGAAAGTGGGGTCAAAAGTTGTTAGAGCGCCCTCGGTACGAAGAACTAGACCCAGGAATGGGAGCGTCCCGGTGTAAGGAAAGTGGAGTTGGGTAAAGGTGAAACTAAATGAAACTAAAACGAAGAGAGAAAGGAAAGGGGTGCCAGGACGGGAGGAGGTGACCAAGCAGCCCCCTCTCCCCGGCCTTCCTGGGGGCTCGGCAGTCGCAGGTCTCGGAATGAGTTTGGAGTGGCCGCCCGCCCGCGGGGGTGGGACCGTGGCTCAATCCCGACGCCGCGAGCGAGGGAGGGGTGGCGCTGTTGGTATCGGTGTGCGCCGGAGGGGAACCCCAAAGTCACCCCAGTTCAATACCTTTCTCCTACCCCAGGTCTCACCGTGGCTCTGCCAGGAGCCGGAACCCTGTCGTCCCGGCTTTGGCGCCGAGAGCTACACGTTCACGGTGCCCCGGCGGCACTTGGAAAGAGGCCGCGTCCTGGGCAGAGGTGAGGGCGCGCAGCCCGGGTCCTTGAGCGGGGAGGGTGGGAACCGGCAGCGTCCGAGAAATTGCGCTCCCTTGTTCAGGGGCTAGACTTGGGCAAGCCCGTTCCTCCTTGACTTAAGTGAAATCCCTTTGGAGTATACACAGATGTAGGGACCTACGCTTCGCTATGACTGAGCACTGTGGGTGAGGGGCTAACGTGGTATGGTTAACTATATTACAAGGAGGGGCCACTAATAGAGGCCTTCTGTGCGTGTCCTATCGTCCTGACTACTTCAGAGACAGTCTGTCATTTAATACTGCAAAAACCTAATATGTGGGCAGGGCAGGAAGATACTGGTAATCCTGATTCACGGAGGAGCAAAGGAAGGCTCAGAGGGTACAGTCCACTTGCTCAAGGCCTGCAGAATGGGAGCTGAAACTAGCATCTCACTCCCAGGTTCTATTCTGCACCATCTCTGAGATGACTGAGGAGCCCTCTCAGGTACGAGGGTGTGGCTTTTACTCAGAGATGAAAACATTTGGATTCAGGTACTATTCTCCCAAGGAATGATGGTTTAAAAAAAAAAAAAAAAAAAAAGCCTGGTAGCTCTGACTCAGGGAATGAAAATGCACAACTGTACTTCTGTGCCCTGTTATCACTGTGATAATCAGAATTCTAGAGTTTGCTTTGTTTCATTTCTCTGTTGTGTGGTGTGAAAGCAAGGGAAGTTTGGTTTCTTAAATGTTTCCCTGATTCCCAGGTGCTTTTATCTTTGTTTTCTTTATTTTTCATTTATTTTTATTTTTGATTTTACAGAGAGGGAAAGGGAGGGAGGAGAGAGAGAGAGAAACACCAATGTGAGAAAGAAATGTAGATCAGTTGCCTCTCATAGGAGCCTTGACCTAGGACCGAACCCACAATCCAGGCATGTGCGCTGACCAGGAATCAAACCGGGAACTTTTCAGTTTGGTTTGCTTTTTTCTTACCAAATAACTTTCTCTGCCCTCCTGATTTTAGTTGATTAGGCGAGTTATCATTATAATAAAAGAAGCACTTTCTGAAACAAGAAATCACCCACAATTCCCCTGAGGGAAGTCATTGTTTATTCTTCCAGTCTTTGGCCACGTGAAAAATCTACAGCAATCACGCTGTTGTTTGAAAAAAATTTTTGAACTTTGGAAGTTTTTCCAACAGCGGGTGGCATTTTTTCTTTTTTAACAGAGAAACTACAGCTTGATTGATTAAAACATTTGCTTTCTGAGTACTGTCTGTGTTGTGTGGAGCTTTCTACTGGATCAGTAAGGAAGTGTTTGCCTGATTTTTGCCAAGGGTCAGCCATTACCTCTTGCTGTGGGTTCTGCCCAGCCCTGTGCTGGGCATGTGAGAATGAACTGAGATACAGACACACTCCAGTACTGCGTGTTTCAACAGATAGCTAAGAAGGCCCCAGGACCCACTTAGAGGACACAGTGGAACATGGGTATTTAGGTGCCTGGAGTATGTTGATGGGTATCAGTGGACACTGGGAATTGGCTTCTGGGAGGAGGCAAAGTTGACCCAGCCTTGAAGAACAGGTCAGGGGTTAGAAACAGAAGTGTGTGTACATGTGTATATGAGGTGTCCCAACACAAGTGCTGGTCACTTTGTTTTCCTGCATCAAGATATTTGTATCACCAAGAGGGTGTTAGTCTAGTTTTTATCTACCTCACAAGTTCTTGTGTCTGCCCAATCATAATAATAATACATATCAATAATATAATAGTTATTATTAATAGTCATATCTATTATTCACTTTTAACTGGGCTCTGGAGCAAGTGCTTCACATATTTGACCCCATTTATTCTTCCCCAGAATTTTACAAACATGGGTACCATTGTTCTATTTTGCAGATGAGAAGAGTGAAGCATAAAGCAATTTATTTGTCTGTTCAGGGTTTCACAGCTGGTCTTTCTCCTGTTCTCTCCCCTTCTCTTCTCAGTAATCTCAGAAAGGAAAGAGGGTGCTTGGGGAACTAGTATCCGCTGCGCAGTAGACCGCCCCCCCCCCCCCCCGCCCGTGCCCCTGGAAGAGAAGCGTAGCCAGGGAAGACCGGGAGGAGGCGGAGGGAGGAGGCGGAGTGATAGCTGGGGCAGCCCAGGTGGGAGGCGAGGGAGCCTGCAGTTGGCTGCACGGTCTCCATGGGCTGCTTGTGTGGCTGGTACCGGTTCCCTTTATGTCCACATGTCCGCACCCACTCACCTTGGCCGCTCGGTCTCCATGGGCTGCTTGTGTGGCTGGTACCGGTTCCCTCTTTGTCCACATCTCCACACCCACTCCACAGAGTTCCTGACATTTCACTTTTGGGAGGCTTTTTGGACTGTGGTGTCCCCTTCCACTAATTCAATATGGAATCGCCCCAGGACAGAAGTGCCCTTCTGATAAAGTCACACACACAAACCTTAGGGAACTGGCTTTGTGACTTAAAAAGGCAGCCCGGGTCTGGGGAGGTGGCCTCACTCGCCTTAGACAGTGGAGAATGGAGGCGCGCTGCATTAGCACCAGGTTTAAACACTGGCTCCGTGGAGAATGAGCTGCATGGGAGTTTGAAAACAGTGAACCTGTCACTTTTTGTCCACTGGTGACCATAGAGTGTCACAAATAGGATTTGACTAAACTCAGGGGTCATTCCTGTGCCCCATGAGGTCCTTGTGTTTATGTCGTTGGTTTCGCTCCATTCTAGAATGGAGAATGTTTAAAAAAAAAAAAAAAACAACAACAGCTGTAAACTTGTTCTTTAGTTTCTGATTATTTTCCTTTTTCTTAACACAAATTGGTTTTGGGATCAAGTATTACCTTAGTGCACTCAGCTTTAAGTTAACTGTAGGTCGGGGGAGGGAAGGCAGCCAGTTTTTAAGCCGATGGTTTCCTTGCTTTGCTTTCTCTGTCACCTGGCCTTGGGCAAACAAGGCTTATATTTTGGATCTGAGCTCTGGCTGCTTGATGGATTGACCTAGCTCACAGGCGACCACCGTTGTGGATTAAGTACACCCATTTCCCCTTTTTAAAAGACGTGCTGAAAGGCGGTGGGAACACTTTGCAAGGGTGGGGAGGGCTAATTAAATGGGCTTTAAAAAACAAATACAGAAACTGGCTTTGGGATGATCTTACATCATCAGATCCCCACTCCCCCACAGCTCAGACTCCTAAAGGATCATTTTCTTATCACTTCCCCATTACTCACATCTGTAACAAGGGTTATGCGGAGCTTGCCGGGGAAGCAGACTAATGGGCCATCCTCCTGCCCTTGCTTTTGTGGCTCCCTGGGCAGAGAGGCCCAGGGTCCTGGGCCCCGCCGGCCATTTAAGGAAGGCTGGCTGCTGCTCCTGCCTTTTCTGTCTGCCAGGTGGTTATGGAAATCCCTGTTGCTCTCCGGGGCGTTTTACTGAGCGAGCCTTTTCTTCCGAAATGCTCACCTTGGTGTCTGTTACACACTCCCTTCCAAGCGTAGCCCCAGATAAGCCAGACGCTGAAGCAATCAGCTCTCACATCTCCCAGAAGCTGCCAAAACCCAAAAGTCCCCGAGAGGCACCTGTCACAATCCAGACTTCTGGGTTTCTACTCTGCCTCAACTCCTGTCTCCTCTCAGGGCTTTGCACTGTCAGGGAGCTGAGTGGATTCAGGATGGCTGGTCAGGGTAGCTCTCTAAGTATCTGGAAGATTCAAGTTTGAATTTCAGCTGTTAGCTGTGTGAACATGGGTAAATCAATTTACTTTGACGAGCCTCAGTTTCCCCATGTGTAAAATGGGATGCTATAACACTTAAAGGTTTGTCAGAGAATTCAGTGTGCGTATTCATTCATAGAGCGCCAGCACTGGGCTAGATCCTGGGGTTCCAGTGCTAAGAACAGCAGATGCAGGCTGAACATGGAGGCCAGCGGGACAAGCGTAAAGAAATAAGAAAGGATCATGAAATGGTGGCTCATATTTCTTAGGGACAGAGTGAGCATTCAAATGTCATTTTAAACAAATGATAAACAAATGAATAAATAGTTACTGCTCCTCATCCTCTGGCTTATCTTTTTCCTCTTACACCCTGTGGCCTCCCGCCAGCCGTGAATGGCGACTGTAAATGGCCAGGGAAGACTTGGGCTGTGGCTCTTGAAGCTTTGTGATAAGTGTGTCCCTGGGATACAGTGCACTGAGTGCTTCCTTCTGAAAGCTTCAGAGGGCAGAGGAGGGTGACCTCAAACCCCAGTTCGGAAATGGAAACGCAGTTAGTCATTTTTAAGTGTTTTTCATCTTTGGTCAATTAAGAAGAAATTTGTAGTGGCCTTTCTTTCTCCCTCTCCCTGTTTCCCTTTCTCTAATTTGTGTCTCATTTATATACCTCAGCTTATGCTTGGCGGGGCTTTAGGTCCTTTCTCTTTTTGCACTTTAAAAACTCTTCCCTTTCTTTCCTCTTAATCCACCTCCCGTCTTCTACCTTCCCCCAAGGCCCTACTGGCATCTTCCCAACATTTAGAAGGTTCTTGAGTCAGGCTGCCTAGATTGAAATCCAGGTAATGCACCTTGCCAGCTGGGATACATTGGCTAAGGACTTTCTAGGCCTCTGTTTTCCCATCTGTAAAATGGACAGAATAGCACCCAAGTCATAGGATGTGTCAAGGCCTCAATGAATAGTAAATATTAAAGCCACCAGAGTATTTGGTGTCTTCTCTTTGAGACACTCCCTCCTGTGTTTTACCTTTGGTTCAAACCTATCCCTGTGCTCCCTCCTGCCCAGCAAACCAGCCAAACCAGTTTTCCTCAGTCTTTCTGCTTCTGTGTTAAAGCAAACATTACTTTGCAAACAGTGACTAGACCAAAGCGCCCTTTGCTAGGAAAGGAAATTCTGGTATTGCTTGCCACTGTACAGTGTACTTGGGGTGGGCTGAAGTGGGTTTGCCTGTTGATCTGCTCATGCGTGTTGTTTAGAATTGCGGTGGAAGGAGTGGGGCAAGGAGCAAGCGAGGGTGGGGAAGTTGGGATGACCTTACACATTT